GAATCCTACAGATGAAGTGATTTTGCTACACAAATTTTGCCTTGAGTAAATGATGGAGCCAGAATTCAAATTCAATTCTCTGAACTTGAAGTCCAGGGCTGTTTCCATCACACTATTAAAGATCCATAAAGTGAATTACTTTGCCCAAAGATCCTAATAAATGATAAGTGACTGAGCCAAGATTCAAGAAGAGGTTTATTGGCTTCAAGTCAACTGATTTTTCCATTATACCGTAGTGCTTCTTTTTTTTCCTCTGCATCATTAGTTTAATTTCTTCCATGAGTTAGAAGTTTAAAAGCAATATTGTAGGTTTCCTTTGTAGGATTTTTTCTTCTCCCGTGGAACTCCCTCCTTCCAGCTTCCCAATTTTTTTTGAGAGCACCACCATCCTTTCAGTTACTTAGGTTCCTTATACCTCACCCCCACATTCCATAAGTCACTAAATTTTGGCAATCCTATCTACACATCTCTTGTGTGTGTATATGTATGTATGCATGTATGTATGTATATATGTATGTACATGCAGCTTTCCTTCTCACCATTCATAGGGCCCTTCCCCTACCCCCTTGATCAGACTCTCACCATCTCTATTATCTTTAGCACAGATTTTTGCAACAGCCTCTTAACTGATCTCCCTGTTTCCAGTCTCTTCTCCAATCCATCTTCCACACAGCTGCCAAATATTTTCCCCTATGGCACAGGTCTGACCAGTCACTCCCTGCTCCCAATCAAAAACCTTTGGTGGATCCTTTTAGCCTTGAGGGAGGGTGGCATTTGAAGCTCCCTACTCAGGCTGTCATTTATAGCCCTCTACTATTTGGTTCTAATCCTATTATTGCCCTTCACACATTCTACATTCCAGAAAAACTGAAACACTAGTGCCCCCCCCCAAGCCCCATCAAATGCTATGCCTGGCCCGTACTTCTTCCTCTTCTCTGATTCTCTGAATTCTTATCTTCTCTAAGGTTCTGCTCATATGCCACCTCCTCAATGCAGCAATTTTAATCACCAGTTGTTAGTGTCCTCTTCCTTCTCAAATTACATTGCACATGCCTTTCTATGCATACATTAGAATCCCTCAGTAGAACTTAAGTACTTTAGCGGCAGGGACTATGTTATTGTATCCCTAGTCTAGCTTAGTGCTTAATATATATTTGAATGTTAAATTGAACACAGTGGTGGGAAGGGGGGGTGAAATTGACTACTTCTCTAGGGCTCCCTATGGTGACATTGGATATAACTTCACTTTCATCATGAATTTTATATAAAGTGTCTAAAGCTGCAATATCTCTGGTTAATGAATTCATTTTTCCTCTACTGCTCAGCTGACCAGAATAAGATACCTCAACATCCAGTACTTTAAGTAAAATATACTTATTGCTTTAGGTCTAAGAAGGAAGGAAATGGAGTAAAAGTGGAAAAATATTGATACCAATGGGATGTGGAAATTTATTTAGACACCAACTGTTCAAAGACAGGGATCATAAAGAGCAGCATAGTGCAATGGCCGCCATTTTGGAGTAGGAATCAGGAGACCTGTGTATGTCTCTTCTACTGTGTGCTTCCAGATGTGCACAAGTTGCTTCCCACCTCTGGGTCTCAGTTTTCTCACAGGCAAAATGAGTGGGAGTAGATTAGATGGTTTATAAAGCCCATCCCCAAAGTCTAAATTCTACTGCCATTGTATTGCATATCCCATCTAGTTCAGTGCTCCTAAAACAATGCAGCCACAGTAAATGATACTGACAGGTAGAGAGTTTATTGGTATAGAACCGGGAATAGGTGACAGAAACATAGATTTAGAGTTGGAAGCAACTTTATAGGTAACCTAGTCCGATTACCTCATTCTGCACGTGTGAAAACTGAGGCCCAGAGAGGTTTCGTAACTTATCCAAGGTTACAAAGATCATATAGAGCATAACTCATACTCGTACTCAGGACTTCTGACTGCAAATGGAATAGAAATACTCTTTCCACTATGCCCTGCTGCCTGTTGAGAAAAAGAGGCTTAGTCAATGAGTTGAGTCAACATTGGAAAAGCTAAGGAGGTGGGAACACACTGCATCTTTCCCAAAGCAGACAGTTATCTCCACAGCAGAGCCCTGTGAGTGGAGGCTTGAGGCTTTTCATGTTCATCTCAGATGGAATAGGCTGTCCCAAATTAAAAGGTTCCTAATGAACCAAGATATGTATGTGGGGTTTTTTTTGGGGGGGGAGGGGGTCTCTTAGAACAGAGTCTACATCCACCTCATATAGGAATTCTCCAAGATGGATTTGAGAGATGATGTCACATCCTCAGCAGACACAAAGAACTATGCCTGTATAAACTTCTCTTGAGTTAGGTTTTGAAGTCTTTACTGTCAAATTTGTCTCCTAGGGTTTAGGCTAAAGCAGGGGTGCGAAACCCGCAGCCTTGAGGGCACATGTGGCCCTCTAGGTCCTCAAGTACAGCCCTTTGACTGAGTCCAAACTTCACAGAACAAATCCCCTTAATAAAAGGATTTGGTCTGTAAAACTTGGACTCAGTCCAAAGGCCACACCCAAGGACCTAGAAGGCCACATATGGCCTCAAGGCCAAAGGTTCCCCACCCCTGAGCTAAAGGCTAATCACAGGGATTGGCCCAGAATCTTGGACCTTTTCAATTAGATAGTGTGTTTTTCAAAGGACAGACATGACATTTTCACAATGAGACTTCCAGTCACTATTGATTAAGGCATCATTGGAGTTGTAGGAAGGATGTCTTTTGGGATAAAGTGTTTCTACAGCACTGGGGTATTTTTGCTTGGCTTCAGTGGTAAAATAAGCCTGGATTGCAGTTTTGACTATGGATTATGGGGTGGGGTGGAGGACTTCTGCTGAAAGGGCCAAAGGACATAGAGAAACACTTAGTGGGTAAAAAAATATGATATGGCCATGTCTACATGTGCAATTCCTTTCCCCAATTCTGGAAATGAGTAGACAGTAATTCCCATCATTCCATATGGCGTCACATGAATCTGGGTGAGCAATCATTTCTGTTCTGTTGGTTGGAGCAAGTAGAGTCAGCACAGTTCAGGGATCAAGTGTGTGCACCCAGTGTAATTTCTTCTACTGCCTCAGTCAGCTGGAGAAGGCTAGCGCCCAGCCTGGTGTTTCCTTAGCCTTTGTGGAAGTAATGGTCATCATCTCTTGCATGGCTGGTCACTTGTTTCCATAGCAAATGTTGTGAATGACTGCCATTATCCCTTCCTGTGCCCATGACATTGGGAGACGGGAAGCAGATATCATGCAGTTGAACTTTCTGTCTTCTGGCCCTGCAGTTCAGGAAATATAAGGGAGTGAAGAGGGATTGAGCCTTTGCCTCGGGGGTAGGACAAGGAGCAAGGGGAACAGGAATTGAAATTCGGCTACTGTGGTCACTGGTGGTTTTTAACATGCTTTTACTTATCTAATAAAGCTAGTTTTAAAATGCTGAGGTGATTGGTAAAATAAAAAACAAAAGCAGGATCTAAGAGGAATTTGGGGATGATTTCCTGTGGAATTAAAACACACAAACCAATGAGAATAAAGCCTGGGAATGACAGCCTCTTTACCCCTATTGATTATGGGATATTATATAATGGTAAGGGAGGTTAGCTAGGGAAGCTCTTGATCCGTTTTTGAGTCTACCAATCGACTTGATTACCAGGCATGGATTTTTGTTGGAAGGGAATCTCCAACAAAGGCATTCGTGTGCCCTGATAACTTGTGGAGAGAACATAAGGAGTTCCAGTATCTGGGGCTGCTGCCACGATAACATAACTTAGTCAGTCAATCAAATTATTTTATTAACACGTTTGCCAGTCACTATACTAAATGTTGCGAATACCAAGAAGGGCCAAAACACAGTCCCCACCCTTTAAAAGCTGATGTGAGTAGACAACATGCAAACAGTTAGACTTATGTAAGAGATGTCAAGAGTAGACAGAAAATATTCTCAGAGGGAAGTCACTGACAATTAGGGGAGAAAAACTTGTGTCAGAAGAGCTACCCATCACCCCATGCTATATAAAAGTAACCTGAAATGCCAACTCAGGTTTGTTTTTTGTTGTTGTTTGTTTTCCTTTGGATTTACAGACTAGAGTATATCACGAGAGCATATAGCCAGGCCCTGTTATATAGGGATGCTTCTCCCACATATTTAACCTTTAACCCATGTGATATTTAACCTCTTCAGCCCTCAGTTTCCCCATCTGTAAAATGAGGTCAGGTTAAAAGAACTTTAATGATCCTTCCAACACTAAACCTATATCCTATGAGTTATGATACATTATATAATATCTATCTCTCTCTCTCTCTCACACACACACACACACACACACACACACACACACACACACACTTTTCCCTCCCCCTTCAGTGGCAGTGTGGTGTAATGATTAGAGTGATGGGCTTGGAATCAGGAAAACCTGGCTTCTTATCCTCCAATCCTACTTTGGCATTCTGACCCTTGTGGGGTATTTAGCCTCAACACTTATTAGATGTGACTATCAGAGCCTCAGTTTCCTCACCTGTAAAATGGAGATAATAACACCCCACCTCAGAGGATAGTCTTGAGTGTTTTGCAAACTTTCAAGCATACCCTTTATGTAAATGTTAGCCATTATGATTTTCATTTTGTTCTGCCACATCAACTAGATTGAAAGCTTTGCAAGAGCAGAGGGCCATATCTCACAGCATTTTGTGGTCCCCTCTCTCCCCTTCACTGTGCCTCCCCAACAGTAGACAACTTATAAGTTAAGTTGTTTGGAGAGAAAGACGAAGCTCCTTAAGCCTATCCTCCTCCTCCCCTGCCCCCCCCCCCCAAAAAGACCATCATGAGATTCTGGGAAACGACCGTAAGGAGCCTTGGCTGGAGTGGGGAAAGGTATCCATGAGCCCTGGGTGGTAAGAAATAAGCAAATTTGGGTGGACGATTGCCGCAAAGAAGACAGCCTGTTTAAAATGCAGCCCTTTGCTGTTTTCCAGACTTCCTGGAAGAATGAGTACGCACAATGCTCCAGCTCTCTCTCCCCCCACCTCCTCCACCACCGCCACCACTCCTCCCTCCCTCGCCATTCTCCGCCCATGCTTTGCAGGTGACACAATGATGAGGCGTCTGTAAGTGAGGACTTCTGGAGAGTGCCCAGCAGCTGTGCCCAGCACTGCCACCTCCTGGCTACGGCTACGCTAAGGCTTTCGTGAATCCCTGGAGTGCCTGTGACTTGTTCACAACCTGTACTGAGGTTCTACCCTAGCCCCCTCCCCCGCCCCCAACCTTCCCCCTCTCCTCTCTTTCGGACTTCGGAGAAAAGCTGGACAGGAGACTCTGATGGCCCCCACCTGACTGGTGAACCGAACACATCAGACCCACAGCACCAGGAGAAGCACAGGTCCCTTCCTTCTCCACCAAATGATAAAACGCCACTGATGCTCACTTGGAAAAAAATCCATCCCCGGGCTTCCAAGGGCAGCTGCGTGCCAATGTGAGAATCTTGGTTTTTCCAGATGATGCAAACAGTTCCTGTGTCAAGGAGAAAATGAAGGAGAAGAAGAAAATGATACTGCAGTGTTTACTAAGAAACAGAGGACAGTGTTCAAACTCCATCTCCGAAACTCTGTATACACACACACACACACACAAACACACACACACACACACCTTGATGCAAGCTTTCTCCCTTTCCAGTGGGAAATGACATCTGACCCTGTCTTCAAAATTTCCAGGGTTTTCTGAGCAGGGGAAGGGATTTCTAGGCCTTCATTCTGATTTTTTTCCTTTTGTAATATTCATATGAGTCACGCCATATCCTAGGAAGAAGGAGAATTGCTTAGTAGATCACATTTTTCCAAGGTAGATCACTTGAGAGGTTTTGTTTCTTAAAAACAAACAAATAAACCAAACCCACCTCGCTAAGAACAGGTAGATTACTGCTCCTTTAGGTCACATTTTCAAAACTGTAACCTGGGAGTTAAAATCCCCGATCCAGTTATTGTTAAGGGATTAATGCAACGAACACCCAAGAAGCCACTTAGAAATTGTGACTGAGGAATATTATTTTAATGTACCAGATTTTTGTTTTCGGTTTTCCAGTTGGTCTGATTATTAGCTGGGATATGAAAAGTAAGACCAAGCAGATATCTGGGATGTACTGTTGTCTTGTCTCCAAAATCCTAATTGGGTTTTGTGCAACGTATAAGTGTATGTGTATGTGTGTCCTAGACTGTCGAATATTTGGAGAACATGAAAGGACAGAAAATAACAGCCACTACATCCTACCTGCTTTGTTGCTATAGATGCTGCTGCTTCTACTCAAGCTGTATATTATTTTTAGCCTCTCCCCAGTGGGAAAAAGAGGATAGAATACAGCAAATAACAACAGTGATAACTGATACATTTGTCATGCTTTAAAGTTTGAGAAGCTCTTTATATACATTATCTCACTTGATACCCCCAACAACCCAGAGACACAGTGTATGTAGCACAGAGGAAAGAGAGCTGGATTTGAAGCTAATGGCCCTTAGGTCAGATCCAGATACTTATGACCATGAGCAAGTCCCTGCATCTCTTTAGGCTTCAGTTTATTCATCTGTAATATAAAAAAGCTAGATTAGATGACCTCTAAGTTCTTTTCCAATTGTGTATGTACTTGAGATAGATTTCTAAGGCATTATTTATTATTCCTATTATACACATGAGGAAACTGAGGCTCAGTGAGGTAATTTATAAAGATAGTATTATCCCCATTTCACAAGTAAGGAAACAGATTCAAAGAGGTTAAGAAATTGGCCCACAGTCACACAATTTGTAAGTGTCAAAGATGGAACTTGAACAAAGGTTTCTCTGGGTTCCAAGTTCAGTACTGTTGTTGTGACACCATGCTACTTCTGAGTTCCACCAACATGACTGGAATTTAACTTTAATATAGTCATGATTCCACTAATTCATTGTTGGTGGAGTTGTAAACTGATACAACATTCTGGAGAGCAATTTGGAACTATGCCCAAAGGGCTATAAAAACATTCCCTTTGACTCAGCAATACCACTTCTAGGTCTATATCCCAAAAAGATCATACAAATGAGAAAAGGACCCACATGTACAAAAATATTTATAGCAGTTCTTTTTGTGGTAGCAAAGAATTGGAAATTGAGGGGATGCCCATCAGTTGGGGAATGGCTGAACAAGTTGTGGCATATGAATGTAATGGAATATTATTGTGCTATAAGAAATGATGGGCAGGCAAACTTTAGAAAGACCTGGAAAGACTTGAATGAACTGATGCTGAGTGAAGTGAACAGAACCAGGAGAACATTGTACACAGTAACAGTCACAATGTGAGATGACTAGCTTTGATAGACTTATCTCTTCTTAACAATGCAAGGATCCCAGACAACCCAAAGGACTTATGATGGAAAATGCTGTCCATATCCAGAAAAAGAACTATGAAGTCTGAATGCAGATTAAAGCATATTATTTGCTCTCTCTTTTTTTCTTTTTTTTTTTGTTTTTGTTTCTTCTTTCTCATGGTTTCACCCATTGGTTCTAATTCTTCTTTACAACATGACTAATGTGAATATAAGTTCAATATGAATGTATATATATAGAGCTTATATCAAATTGTATGTTATTTTGGGGCGGGGAGGAAGGAAGAGATGGGGAGAAAATTTGGAATTCAAAATCTTATGGAAGTGAATGTTGAAAACTAAAAATAAATAAATATTTTTTTTTAAAAAAAGGGCAAAACAATAGTCATGGTTCCAATTCTATTCTTTAAAAAACATTTTTCAGTCATCAAACATTCATTGTTGTTTCTTCTCCCTCACACCTCCCCCTCCCCACAACCACTGGGGAAAAAAGATAGAAAGAAACACAGAACACCTATATCACATAAGCACAATCAAGCAAGCAAAACAAATTCCCATATTGGTCACTTTCAAAAAATGCATTTCTTATTCTGTATATTAGTCCATCATCTCTCTGTCTCAAGATGGACAATGTCCTGTGTTATCAATCCTCTGAAATTATGTTTGATCATTTAATTGATAAGAGTTCTTATATTTCAGAATTATTTGTTTCCACAAGATTTATGCTAAAGTATATTTTCTCCTATTTTTGATCACTTTACTCTGCAATCATTTCACACAAGTCTCTCCATGTTTTTTGGAAACTGTCTTTACCCTTAGTTCTTAAGCATAATATTTTATTGCGTCTTTCTACCACAATTTATTCAACCATTCCCCAATTAATGAGCCCTCCCTGAGGTTCCAGTTTTTGGCCATCACAAAAAGATCTGCTATAAATATTTTTGCACATACCCTTTCTTCTTTCATTGATCTTTTTAAGGGTAGAGACCTAGCAGTGATATGGCTGGATCAAAGATGAACTGTTTAATAACTTCTTTGTTTGCATAATTCCAAATTGCTTTCCAGAGTGATTGGACACATTCACAAGTCCACCAACAGTATATCAATGTTCCTACTTCCCCAACAGCCCCTCCAACATTTGTCATTTTCTTTTTTGTGCCGATTTTGCCACTCAGATACTTATGAGGTTTAATCTTAGTATTGCTTTAATTTATAGTTCTCTACTTAGTAGTAATTTGGAACATTTCTTTTAAATAGCTAGAGTTAGCCTGGATTTCTTGCCTTGATAATCTCCTGTCCAGATTCCAGTTAAGAAAATTAAAAGTTTTTAAAATTTTCCACTAAAGGAAAATTCTATTAGGAGTCAAACTTGTGGTTTGGCTTCCCATGGAAATTAAATGGCTCCCTTCCCAGAGTCAACCAATATTTATTGGTGATATAATTCCACCTTATTGGGTTATGCTAAACCAGGGCCTATCTTCATTTTTACCCTTTAAATAGTTGTTTGAATCTGTGATAGTCAAATACCAAGTCCAGGACATATCTACCCAGAGGCATTCCAATATATCTACTATTCAGGCAAAACTCCCAGGCATGGGGAACCTGCAGCTTGGAGACCAAATGTGACCTCAAGGCCACAGAATCCCCACCCCTGCCCTAGACTAATGACAAAACCTTCATATACAAAAATATCTCCAATTGTTAGTTTTAAAGTATCATGAAATTCTGAAGGTGAAAAATACACTTAAAAACAATGACATAAGTTGGAAGTTCATAACTGTTACATGAGATGTCTTATGGAAGAAAATTCTATGCTCTACATTTCATGCCCAAAAGTGCCAAAACCATTTTTTATTCAGTTAGATTAACTCTAACTCTAAGTTCTGCTTAAAGAGAGGGAGGTCCAAAGATGGCTGAGGTACCTCATATCTCTGAAAAATCTAAAAAAAAAAGTTTTACAATTTATAGGAGTCAAAATTTATAGGATCCCCAAGAAATAGACAAAAGTCTACAATAAGATAAGAACATTGTTACTGAGCCCAGGTGAAAGTTTCATTTCCAGGGGCCCATGAAGTTGGATGGGAAACATTTCATCTTTATTTTTAATTGGTTTCATTTGTAATCCTATGTCTTTTCTCTTATTGATTTAAAAATATTATTCTGAGAAGATGTCCATATGCTCCACCATACTACCAGACAGCCAAGGGGGGTCCATGACAGGAAGAACATTGAGAACACTGCTTTAGGGGATCATTTTTCCTACAACCATTCAATCCCTCTTCAACCACTCCCTCCAACAGTGAATTCCAAGGGTATTTCTGCTTTTTTTTTTTTTAATTGATCAAGGAATTGTTCCTCCTCTTAGTTTGATCATTGCCCTAATCATTTCAGGGAGGAGGCCTTCCTGGGTTAATTTGGACAGAGGGCCTCTAGGTGGATTAGTACCTGGTTAGGCTTTTGATAAGAATGATATTAAAATGTTTTAGTGAAAACTATTGTTTCATGCTGGAGACAGACCTGGCCTATCATTGTGATTGGGAGTTGGGATAAGAAATCTCAGGGTTTACCTGAGCTTCACTAGGACGTTTAGGAAAATGTTTTCTTATTTAGAAGAGAGAGAAATGGAAGGAGGGGGAGTAAATATTGTACTTCCATAGTCTGTAAAGTACTCTGTTAACTTAAAGCAGTCTCTCAAGCAATAAACATTTATTTATTTAATTTGCTTAGGCAGTTGGGGTTAGGTGACTTGCCCAGGGTCACACAGCTAGTAAGTGTCAAGTGGTGTCTGGTCTAAAGCTGGATTTGAACTCAGGTCCTCCTGACTTCAGGGCTGGTGCTCTATCCACTGCACCACCTAGCTGCCCCTGCAATAAACATTTACTAAGAATGCCTATGTGCTAGGCACTGTGCTAAGCTCTAGAGATATAAAAAGAGGCAAAAGACAGTCCCTACCCTCAATGAGCTTACATGCAAACAAATATATACAAAGCAAAGTATATACAGGATGAATACGAATTAATTAATGGAGGGAAAGCTCTGAAATTAAGAGTGGTTGGGGAATGCTTCCTGTAGAAGGTGGGGACTTAAAGGAAGCTATTATTGGTAGTAGTAATATTATAA